TCAAGGATAGTTAAAGCATAATGTGATTGAGATAGATGAAGGCCATCATCTGTTGGAAGTATCTCAATTCCTAGGAAGTGGTGAAGAGGCCCCAAGTCCTTCATGGCAAATTCAGATTGCAAGAGATTAATAAAGTTAGAAACGAGGGTGGTGGAGGATCCTGTGAGAAGTATGTCATCAACATAGAGAAGAAGAATAATAGATCCAGAATTAGTGTGAGAAATAAATAAGGAAGGGTCAGCCATGCTACAAAAAAAAACCATATTTAAGAAGAAATGAACTAAAGTGATCAAACCAGGCCCGAGGTGCTTGTTTGAGGCCATAAAGAGCCTTTTGGAGCTTGCATACATGGATTGGGGAGTTAGGATCAGCCATTCTAGGAGGTTGTTCCATGTATATATTTTCAGAGAGAACACCATGTAAAAAGGCATTTTTGACGTCAAGTTGATGAATATGCCATTTCTGAACAAGAGCGACAGTGATGATTAATCGGATGGTTCCTAGCTTAATTACTGGAGAAAAGGTTTCAATATAATCCACTCCATCAACTTGGTGGTATCCTTTTGCAACAACTCGAGCTTTGAGGCGATCTAGAGATCCATCTGGTTTGAGTTTGGATTTAAAAACCCATTTAGAGCCAATGACATGCATATTAGAAGTTCGAGGAACAAGTTGCCAAGTTTGATTTTTGTGTAAAGCCTCAAGTTCTTCACCCATGGCAGCCTTCCACCCAGGATGGGATAGCGCTGAACGAATGTTGTGCGGGTTGCGTGGGATGTCCTCAGAGCAGGTAGAAAGTAATGCATATTTTGGATTAGGCTTTACTATTCCGCGTTGTGAACGAGTAACCATCGGATGCAAAGGTAGATCTTGTGGTTGTTGGGTTTGTGTTGATGAGACGGGCTCATGTGAAGAAGGTGAGGTGGGAGACCTAAATTCAAGCACATGTTCAGATTGTGGAGTACTCATAGTGCTCAACTTCAGGATGTGGGGTTTGTTCTGGTTGAGTGATTGACTCATGTGTGATGCCAAGTTGATCCAGAGAGGATGGTAGTGGATTGATAGAAGGGAGAGAAGCTGCAACGGGAAGGTGTGCAGTAGAAGAGCGTATCAAGGTTGTGGGTAGCGGACTTAAGCATGGTGAAGTAGACGGAGGGGCTGACAAATCTGCACAAGAGTCAGAGTTAGTGTGAGGTAACCAAGAGTCAAAAATACTAATGACATGTTTTGTAGTAGGTGGAGCATTATTTTGGCTAGTAGGCTTCTTATATGGAAATATTAACTCATCAAAAACAACATGTCGAGAGATGAAAAATTTCTTACTAGGAGGATGAAAACACTTATATCCTTTATATTTATCACTGTATCCAACAAAGACACAAAGAGTAGTTTTTGGATCAAATTTGTGGCGTCGTGTGTCCCAGGTGTAAGGGAAACATTTAGACCCAAACACTCGAAGTGAAGTGTAGTCAGGGGGTGTTCCATGCAAAGCAAAATATGGAGTTTCAAAATTAAGGGAAGATGATGGAAGCCTATTAATCAAGTGGAAAACTGTAGTAAAAGCTTCAACCCATAGAAACAAAGGAGCACCACTATGAAACAACATGGTCATACCTACTACATCAATTAACCCTTTATTCTTTAGCAATTGTAGAGCTATAGTTTGAGGATGTCCTAGGCGTTGATGCCAAGTGTCTGCTGATCCAGATTTGAAACGATGAGAGTAATGCAATTCAGGTGAGGGAGAAAGTACATATAGATCACCCTTGCGCCTCCCTGTGATCATTGGTTTCCCTGTTTCTCGTTCCTTAACACAAAAATCAACATTAGAAAATTCACTATTAACAGGAAATTGCTTAGTTAATTGACTTATAGAAAGTAGATTCTTTGTTAAGGAAGGAACTAGTAAGACATCATGAAGGGGTAGAGAAACATTCCTTTGCTTGATGAATGAGTCTCCAGTACCAAGAATTGGTAGAGAAGAACCATCACCAATAAGGACAGAATCTGTACCTGAATATTTTTTAATGTTATTAAGCATACTCGGTTTACCTATCATATGATTGGCTTTAATTTCCGCAATTATGAGAATGATCTGAACGTGTTTACTTTTGATTTTGCCATGTTTAGATCTTTAGAATCTCAGTTCTTTCAGAAGATCGTCAAGTACCAAAAGTGTGGTGTTTCTACTCGGTCAACACAACCAACATCGAAACATAGAATTTGATATTAGCCAATAATTTATGGTTTCGGGTAACAAAATACTTACCATTATAACAAATGCATTTTGTGTTTCTGGATTTCATTCACAGATTAAGAATTTTTAATCTGATTAAGCAAATATACATTAATTTGAGTTAGTATGACAAAGTATTAAATAATTTCAAATTTTATAAAAAGATTTAAATTTTATTTATTCATTAAAAACTTTTAATTTAAAAATTAAATTATTAAAATTTAATATAAATTATAAGTTATTAAGTTTGATTAATAGTTAATGTTTGAGTAAGTAAATATCTCTCCTTATGAAAATTATAATCGTTGATCAAGCTCAAATATGTATCAAATAAATCAAAATTTTGACAACTTTTCTATTAATTATGGTACACTTTTAAAATAATTTGATTTATTTTGTTCCTTTTATTTATTTATTTTAATTAGAGTCTTGAATTAAATTTAGCGAAATATGAATAAGTAAAAAAAATTATTGTAAACAAA